TTCTGACCATTCTGAGCCTATTGCTGCAAAAATTGTGGTTTAGTGTCCAAGGCTGGTTGTTGCAGAGGTTAAGGGTCAGATTTTATGGTCATATATGGTGTGGCCATTGTCCATTTGTATATCCAGACTCTCAGCCATATAAAATATCCCCTTACCATCAAAAATCAAAATCACAGTGATAACTAATAGGAAGTTCATCTCTTAGTGCTATTGTTGTTCACACTCAGAAAAGTTAGAAGAAGACTTAAGTTGGACCTTATCACACCAAACTCAAGAAAGGACTGGTACTTTTCTTTTAAATCATTAAACAAGTAGGATGCCTAAAAATATGCTCTTGATTTTCAAGGATATATTTACACATAGACATATTAGCCAGTTTCTCCAGAAGTATTTGGGAGAATCATTAAGTAAAACTCTGCAGTTTTTCACCCTGAGCAGGCTACATAAAATACACCTAATGCAAATTAATCCTTGCAGTTCTGAAGGTTAGCCCTTGTGGTGTTTGGTTTGGGGCTCATATTTGAAACCCTATCATTTTTCTTGGTAGCTGCTTAACTGTCCTAGTTCACAGTTACTTTGGCTCCTAATATTACAGTTCTAGTTGTTTTGAGGGATGACTATTTGAGATACCCTCCAGGATTCCCCAAGTTGAATTCCAGGTGTACAAAAATTCTCTATGGAAGGCCATCCCAAACAAACCCTTCAAATTTGCTGACTATATGTCCAGAATCAGAAGAAAATAAATAGAAACTTAATTCCATTTATGTAGATATATTTCCTCTTACAGCCTTTGGCTTTTAACTATCTTTGTTTCAACAATAAGGACTGGTTGTAGAAAAAAGGCCTTTTTGGAAAAACTGTTAAGGGTTTATCATTTGGGGGGCAAAGACAGAATACAATATGCTAAAAGTAAATAGAATTTAGTCATCAGGGAAATGCAAATGAAAACCACAAGGACATTCCACTTCACACCCAATAGAATACTATAATCAAAAAGTCAGATGATAATTGTTGGCGAGGCTGTAGAGAAATCAGAACCCTCATCCACATCTGGTGGAAATGTAAAATGGTACAGCCAACTTGGAAAATAGGCTGTCAGTTCCTCAAAAAGTTGAACATAGAGTTCCCATTTGACCCAGCAATTCCTCTCCTACATAGATACCTAAGAGAAATGAAAACATATTGTACACACAAAAACTTGTACTTATTGTTCATAGCATTACTCATAGTAGCCAAAAAGTGGAAACAACCTAAATTTCCATTAATTGATGAATGAATAAACAAAATGTGATATAGCCATACAATGGAATGTTATTCAGTTACTGATACATGCCACAACATGGATGAACCTTGAAAACATTATGCCAAGTGAAAGAAGACAGTCACAAAAGACCACATATGAAATAATTCTGTTTATATGAAATGTCCAGAATAGGTAAATATATAGATATAGAGAGTGGATTAGTGGTTGCTTAGGGATGGGGGAGGAATGGAGACTGATACCTAAAGGGTATGGGGTTTCTGTGAGGTGATGAAAATGTTCTAAATTTCATTGAGATGATGGTTGCACAACTCTGAACATAGCAAAACACTGAATTGTGTATTTAAATGGATGAATTTATGATTATGGTATAAGAATTATATCTCAACAAAGGTGTTACCAAAAAAAAAATCACCGAAACATTAGAACAGTTTATAACCTAGGCATTTGAGTTCAAATTGCTGTTTTTGTGGTTCTCATGCTGTTCTTTAATCTTGTGAGATTATTTTGAGAGAGAAAGGCCACATAACATAATAGTCAAAGAGCAAGGGCTTTGAAATCAGACAGACCTGGATCAACTTGTGGCTTCAACACTTTCAAGCTATGTATCTTTGAGCAAATTATCTCACCTCTCTAAGTTTCTTAAACTATAAATTGAGTAGAATAATACCAATCTCTTCAAGTTATTGTTAGGGCCTACAGTAAATATATCAGTCTGGGCTATCTAAAACAGGGATTAACAAATCTTGCTTGTGAGTAGAGCACCAAGCAAAATGATTACAATGGAGAGGAACTCCAGAAGTTCATTTCAACAATTATCTGAGTGGTAGGCACTCAGTTGTGCATGTGGTGAGGAGAGGGGAGAGGTTAAAATAAGATGTAGCTCCCTCAGGTCCCAGGAATTTACTGTCTGGTGGGTGGCACTGGGGGTGAGGTGCACTTCCTTGTCCTGGGGGTTTTAACACGAATATGGTCAGCCTGGGCAAGAGCAAGACCCATCTCTACAAAAACAGAAAAATGAGCTCGATGTGGTGGTGTGCACCTGTAGTCCCAGCTACTAGGGAAACTGAGGCAGGAGGATTGCTTGAGCCCAGGAGTTCAAGGCTGCAGTGAGCTATGATCATACCACTGCACTTTAGTCTGGGTGACAGAGCAAGACCACATCTTTAAAAAAAAAAGAAAACATACGAGTTTGCACCAAGTATACAGGAACAAGAGGAGAGGCTGTGAATATAGGAAAGTATACTGGAGGAGATGACACCCATGCTGAGTCTTGAAGTATGAGAAAATTTAGCCTGGTAAAGAAAGGCCAGGAGGGTTTCTCTCTCTGGCAGTGGAGACAGCATAAGGAAACGTCTGAAAAGCCCATTGCAGTGCTGACTCTCAAATACACATCTCCCAAATTCCGGGTTCCTATGTCAAATGCAAACTCAAAATCTTAATTTGAATGGCTAATAGACTTCTTTACACATTGACTGCCATGTGAGTTGTATTTAAGTCACACTAGTTTTGAGCCCAGGGCCTCACGAAGCATATGTTACACATCTCTTCCCTTTGGGAGCTGCGTGAACTATTTTTCTAGTTGCATATAATTCACGCACAGAAAACAATAAAAAATACCAAATTTTTCATTAAATTAGAAAGGATCATTTTATTTTTGAAGTTTTTATTCTATTTTTGTAATAAAACACGATGGCCCCAAGGAAAAATATTTTTTTCCTAGTGTGGCAGTCAATGTGTTAAACTTCCCTCATCAACGTGGTCCACTCAGCTTTCTCCATCTCTGTTGATGGCAACTCCACCCTTCTGCCTGTTCAGGCCAAATCCTTGAGTCATTCTCAACTATTTTGTTTCATTCCCACATTCGACTTGTCAGGAAATCCTCTTGGCTCTGCCTTTAAAGTGTGTGCAGAGTCTCTGAGACCTGCTCAAGCCTGTACTGCTCAGTATGAGCCACCATCAGCTCTTGCCTGCTTCCCCTAGTGCTAACTACGTTCTCTAGACAGCACCCAGAGTGATCTTTTTCAAATGAAAGTGAAATCACTGTATTTTCAGTTCAAACTCTCCTGTGGTTCACATTTCACTCAGAATCAAAGCTGGAGTCCTTACAAGGGCCACCAAAGCCCTGTGATTTGTTCCCCCATGCCTCTCCTTACCTCTCTGTTCTCATCTGCCACTCTCCCTTGACTTCATTTGGCCCTTTGATTTTGATTGGCCGAAATAGTGGTTTATTTTATTTTTGTCATCTTCTATGTAATACTGAAAAGGCAATAAATATAACTAGCCAGGTGTTAGGCTTCCTTACAATACAAGCACCCACTGTCTTACTCCTTGCTTGCTTAAGCATCCACATAGCTGTGGGGCCCCGGCCAGCCTTGGAGCATTCCCCACAATGTAGGAGGCAAATGTGGAGCCACCGAAGGTTTTAAGTAGTCCAGATTTTTATTTAGATAGATGATTTTGCTTTCAGCATGGAAAATGGATTTCAGGGGAATTCCACTGGAAGCAAAGACTGGGAGAGAAACAAGTTAGGAAGTTTTTGCAACAGTCCAGATGGGAGCCTGTACCCAGGCTGTGGCTGCTAGTGGGAACGGAGAAGAGATTTGATTTCAGATATACTTTAAGGCAGAGTGGGCAGGACCCAGTGCTTGACTGAATATGGGGTTTGGGGGAAAGCTTTAGAGAAAACCTCCTAGTTTCTGGCTTGAGTCACTTAGTAGATGAAGGTACCAGTAATGTTAGAAGATGAAATCTGAACATAAGGGATGGGGAAGATGTGTTTCCTTTTGGACATTTGAGTTGGAAGGACCCAAACCGCCCATCACTGAGTATAGCAAGCAATTGGATTTGAGGTTCTTAGGCTCAGGGGGAGAGGTCTGGGCTGGGAATTTGAGTTATCCACCACTATTCTAAAAATGTTAATTTTTTCTAATTAGAATTATTGTGGTTTTCAAATTTCACTTTTTGTACTTCAACTCATCATAACTTTTTCCTGAACACACACTATAGGTAACCTCAATTTTTTTCTATCACTTCTCCAACAGCCTCCTTGGGTGATTTTTTAAAGCTTAGCAATCCCTTCAAATGCAGCAGTCCTAACCCATTGGAGCAAACGTGTGAACAAAGATCTGGTTCCCAAAGTCCATGAATATTTAACTTTTCATACAACTATGAAGAAGATCAAAAGCTTAAGTGTGTTGAGCGCCTCCTCTGTAGCAAGAAAACTCCAGGGGCCCGGCTCTTGCCTTTCTTCCTCCTCTTCTCTGGGCCAGCCCGCCAGGCCTCCCCGCGCGCGCCCACGTGCCGGGCGGGCTCTTCCGACTGTGGAACACCAAATGCCCCCGATAGTGCGGCGGGATCTTGTGGCGCTAGAACAGGCCTAAGCCGCGGTCACCACAGTAACGAGCCCCGGGCTAGTTCGGTCTTTCAGGGCCACAGGCGTCTCCAGGGCGCCCCTCCCGGGGTAGCCGCGCGGGGGCCGGGGCGCGGTCCCTGCCCCGGGGTAGGAGGAACGCAGAGCTGGCGGGGGCTGGGGTGTCCGGGAGCCCCGAAAGGCATGTGACGGCCCGGCCTCCTGCGGCCGCATTGTCTAAGCTCCATAGCAACTCGGGCGAGGCGGGGGCCCTGCGCGCCGCCACCGCGTCGGCTCCCGGGAGAGACGGGCTCTGTCCGGCGCTGGCCCGCGCGGACGGGGCCCTGACGGCCCGCGCGGTCGCCGGGCTCGGGCAACGGCGACGCCATGCCCCAGAAGCGGCTCACCGCCGGTAGGTGGGGCGGGCCCGGGCGGCGCGGGGCAGTCGCCCTCTTCGACAGAGACCAGGGACGGGGCCGTGGCCGCCCCTCTTCCAAACATTGGAAAAACTGCCTTCACTGCCCTCTCATTGCATTTTATTACGAATTTCACGTCCTCCCCGTTTACATTGGCACCGTGTTGTTTTATCTTGCCTAATTCTCCATTATTTTGTTGCTGGAATAATGGAGGCCTCCATCTTTTAAGGTTAACTCCAGGGTCACAGTGAGTTAGTGACCAGGCTGGATTCCAGAGGCCTTTCCTTCCCACTTCCACCTTGAATTCCAACTCAAAATTCAATCCATGTGCAGAGAGTGAATAGAGGGCCAAAAATTTACTGAGCTTTCCCATGTACAAGGTAGGGCTAGGTGCTGTCTCAAATTATTTCATTTATTCTAAAAGAAAATCAGATTTGAGTGAGATAATGAAATATTTTATCGTTTCAGAACCACCAGCTCTTACAGAAGAAGAATTTGTAAGTACGATTTAGGGGCTACTTGTTTTTTTCCTTGGCTTTTCTTTTTTTGTTTTTTAAATAGCAAATACTAGATCATGGAGAACTCGCTTTTCTTTCCTCCTTTTTGCCTTATCAGTACAGTAGAAGCGTTGGTTCTATGGTGATCAATGGTGATAACTGTGTGCAAGACCTCTTTATATTCTCTAACAGGTACATTTTTAAGACGGAGACAATTGATTTGTATTAAATATATTGCATGCTATTTATTGTTAAAGTTCTTTCGCATAAATGACCTCATTTAATTCCTCTAAACTCTAATTGACTCCATGAGAGGCAGGTTTTGTCTCCATGGCTTTATTGTGATGTGGCCGTGCACTTCCTGGTTGCAGTAAACATAAGTAGGTGGCACTGATTGCTAATGAGTAGTCAATTTATATTTATAATTCCTTTAAAAATGTACTAAATATTGTTCTCAGTTCAGACTTCTGGAGAAGTTGAGTAATAAGTACTTTGCCAAATATAGCTTATAGTTGTCATTTAGATGAGTGCTATATTAAATATTTAGGGTGGGTTCTATTGTAGTTCCTGTGTGTACTGTATTTAAGGAACTTGCCCAAGGTTACACAGATGGGAAGTGGCAGAATCTAATTCTTACTAAAATCTGAGTCTGATTTCAAGAGCTCTAACCACATCTCTCTATTATTTACTTAACGTCCTCCAGCACTTATTTCTCTTGTTGGCTAAATTATCTTATTTGCTTTTGGCTTTTTATTCAACAAGCATGAGTGATTGTATATTCATAGTACAGTCTGAAAGGATGAGAATAAGTCTCAAGAAGTTCAGTCTAGCAGGGGCTAAGAGATAATAAGAGAGGCCAAGGCAGGTGTGGTGGCCAAGGCTGGTGACTGGTCACCTTTCCAGCCCTTTGGTCCACTGCTGAGAGAGACAGGGAGAGAGAGAGAGAGACATATACACACACACAGTGAGGCACGGAGCATGTCAGAAATTCCTGCCATCTTCTGGCCATGTGGCAGAGCTCTGCTTTTAAGTGGGAGATTTCTTTAAGCTGTTCCAGGCCTTCCTGAACTGTTCTTCATTCCAGCGGGAGGTGAGCATTTCTGGAGCTAGCTAATCCTTTCCCGTACTGCTGAAGAGCACTGAGCAACGTGCCACTTAACGTGTGAGCAGTTTGCTAACCATTTCAGGCACTTGGCCCATATGGGAACTCATAATAGCCTGAAGACTCTATTAGGCACTTCCCTTCTCTTAGCTTCTTTGACACCACTATCTCCCAGTTCTCCCATCTCTCATTCTTATTTCCCCTTAATGGCTCCTCTTTTTCTTTTTTCATAAACGTATTGACCTTCTTCAGGATTCTGTTCTATGGGCTCTCTTTGAGTGAGCTCCTCTTCTCCTGTAGCTTCAGCCACCCCTATTTCACGGGACTTCTGAGTCTACGCACCTCTAGCCAGATACCACTCTTGATGCCAGCTCTGTATGCCCAGTTTATGGGGCATCTTCCTCTTCTGGATGTCCCTGCATCACCTCAACAGTCTAAACTGAACTTATCCCCTCCCTTTTCCCATTCTGTTTTTCCTCCACTTTTTCTTATTTTGGTTAATGGTGCCACTGGCCATTCAGTCACTCAAACTGGAGACTTTCTTCCCCCTTCTACATCCCCCGCCTGCAATCATTTACCAGATTCCTTTCATAGCCAGATTATTTTTCTCTATCCTCACAGCTACTGTCTTATTTTAGGCCCTCATCCCTGGGCCTGGACTTTGGCAGTAATCCTAACTGATATCACTGCCTCAAATATTCCCTCTGCCAACTCCAGTTTTTCTTTGTCTAAAGCATAAAATACAAATTCCTGTGCATCAACTCTACTGGATTACTTCCTATTTCTTTGTTCTGTGTGTCTACCTTTAAATCTTTCTTCCCCCATTACTCTGGCCCCTGGTTTATCAGATTGCTATTAATTCTTTAAAACATTACCATGTTACTCGCTCAGAGCTTTTATTAATAGCTAGTATTTATTGACTGCTGGTTACATGCTAGTATTATATTTAACCTCAAAACAACCCTGTTAGGTAGTTATTATTATACATATTTCACAGATGAGGAAGTTGAAGTTAATAGAGGTTAACTAACTTGACCTGATGCCACATGTGTAGCAACTGTTAAAGCCAAAATGTCAAACACTTTACATTAGCATTCAAAACCTTTTCTGTAACTTTTCAGCCTTCTTTAACCCTATCTACCAATACTTTTCTCTGTGATAAAGACAACATTGTTAATGTTTTTGGTTTACAAAGTACTTCCACATGCCCTCTGCTCCAGCCAAACTATATCCTACTTGCCTTTGCTGTCAAGTCTTGTCTCAGTTGCCCTTCCCCATCTATTTCACAATCCTGCACATTCTTCAAGGCCCAGCTAATCTCTTCCATGAAACCTTTCCAACCTAACATCATCCAGACTGCCTTTGAGCTCTGGGCAGCTTTCAGTTGAGACCAGTTTGTGACTAGCTGCTCAAATTCACATGCTCAGCCAAGCGTTTGACCATAGATTAACACATTGCCACACTGGAAAAAAAATTTTTCCTTGGGGCCACAGTGTTTTATTATGAAAATGGAATAAAAACTTTGAAAACAAACGACCCTTTCTAATTTAATGAAAAAGTTATTATTTTTTATTGTTTTCTCTCATGAATTATATGCAACTTGAAAATAGTTCTTGCAGCTCTCAAAGTGAAGAGACATGTGAGTTACATATGCTTCACGAAGCCCTGGACTCAAAACTAGCATGAGTTGAATACAACTCACATGGCAGTTAATGTGTTAAATAATTAACATGTATTGCACGTATATTTATCTCTGCTTTTCAAGTGTGAAAGTATTGTTTTCACTAATAAATTACATATTCTTAGAAAAAGTGTTTATCAGAGACCTGTTGTTACCTAAACTCCATTCTCTCCTTTCTATAATAGATACTAGATACATTGCTATCCAGAATAAAGACTACATTTTCTAGCCTCCCTTACAGCCAGATGTGGTCCTGTAACCAAATTCTGGCCAGTAGGATGTAAGCAGAAGCCTTTCAACAAGCCACTCTGTGGAGCTTGTTTCACCTTGCATTCTCTTTTTCTGACTGTTTCCTCTTTTGACCAACATCTATTTTATTAGTGTCTTTGTTAGGTTATCAGTCTTTTCTCTTCAGGTTTTGTGTCCTCAGTGTAATCATTCGACAAAAATGTTCTAAGCATCTACTATCTAAAGGCATTGGGAATTTTAAAAAATGAATAAGAAATAGTCATTTTCCTCCAAAAGTTCACAACCAGTGGGTGAGACATGTAAACAATTATAGTATGAAGTGATAAAGGTTTTTATAGGGGAAACACAAATGACCACTACTCTAGACTTTTGGAGAAGAATAAGGATAGGTAGGTGAATAAAGGGAGAAAAATTTTCTAGGTAGAATAATCAGCATGCACAAAGGTGCAGAACTATAAAAAAAATTATAGGCCGGGCACAATGGCTCACGCCTGTAATCGCAGAACTTTGGGAGGCCGGGGTAGAAGGATCACTTGAGGCCAGGAGTTCAAGACCAGCCTAGACAACATAGTGAGACCCTGTCTCTACAAAGAATAAATTAAAAAAATTAGCCGTGCATGATGGCACACACCTGTAGTCCCAGCTACTTAGAAGGCTGAGGTGGGAGAATCACCTCAGCCCAGGTGTTTGAGGTTGCAGTGAGGTATGATGATGCCACTGCACTCTAGGCTGGGTGACAGAGTGAGACCCTGTCTCTTAAAAAAAAAAATTGGCATAGCTAGAGCATGGTAGTATGAGACAAGGGCTGGAAAGGTGGGCAGGAGCCAAACTGCATTCATCATAAGCCCTTTTTATGGTAGAAAAGGATTGGAGATTGGAAGATGAGTGGATCCTTTGTATTAAATGAGGTGTGGTTAGGGAGACTGACCCGTAGGGTGGTATAGGTATGAAGGGTAGGAAAGATGAGATTTGGCATATTATGGATAGGAGGGTGAACCAGAGGTGTCAGAGGTCTGACCCTTAGTGGATAGGATTTCAGAGTAGTGGTCAGAAGATGATCAGATAGTCAGGAATTTATTCTAGAAACAATGAGGGTGATTTGGGATCTATCATTTAGTACTCAGGAAGCTAAGAAGGCTGTCCATAGGTACAGAGAAACTTGGTCTTGTTTCCTTGTACCTGAGGCTCCCCTCCCAACATTTTATTATGAAACAATTTAGACATATAAGAATTAAAATAATTGTATGGTGAACACTGATATACCCACCACTAATATTTCACATTTATTATTTTCCTATTTTTGGTTTTTCACATTTCCGTCCTCTGTCTATCCCACCATCCATCCATCAGTCCCTCTTTTTGTGCATTTCAAAGTAAGATACAGACATTGATAAATTTCACCCCTAAACACTTCAACATGAATATCATGAACTACTGTTTAATATTAGTTTATGGTTCTTTTGTTGATGTAAAATTTATACATGTGAAATGAAAATTCTTAAAGAGCGATAATTTGATAAATTTTGTCAAGTGTATTACCTGTGTAATCCAAGCCCTAATCAATATATAGAGCATTTTCATAAACCTAGGAAGTTCTTTCAGGCTCCTTCCCAGTTGAGTCTTGCCCCCATTCCCCAGAGACAACTACTGTCCTGTGTTTTGCTTTCTGATCTCTCTGCTCATGCATTTCTCTCTGTACTCATATTTATACTAATGAATATAGAATTTGAAGTTATTTGAAATGCATTTCAAATGCCATTTTTCCCATTTGAATCTTCTGATTCTTCCTACTAGATAACATCTTTCTCTCCTTTGGAGGAAACAGTTTATATTGTAATTCTCATATAGCATGTGTTGTATTCTTTCTTGGATTATGGTTTTTGTCAGTATTTATTTTATTTCCTCTTTCTTGTTCGTAAGTTCTTTGTGTATTTTGCATCTTTTGGACTTGTGAAGAAATTGTAGTTCATCTGATTTGAGGGTACAGCAAAATAATTTTAAGCAAAAAATTTTACTTACCATAATTAGCAAGCACACATAAACTATTTTACTTAACCCTCTTTCAATAAGAAATTGGAAAAGTTTGGACTAAAAATGGAAAAGCTGACTTCACTTTCACAGATGGCACACCTGTAATACATGAAAAAACAGGTTTCAAGAGTATATTCAATTTTTAAGAAGTGTTCCTACTTTCCATTGCATCATTCAGCAGAGAATCTGTGTTACAAATTTTGCAGTCAGGTTTATGGAATGATGTAATGGAGGAATTGATTGTAACTCAGTTTTCTTCCTGATTGTACCATTAACCATCACCAGCTTATTGATTACTTGGAAGATATTAAACCTGAATATGGAGACTTTTTTTTTTTTTTTTTTTTTGAGACAAGGTGTCATTTTGTCACCCAGGCTAGAGTGTGATAGCATGATCATAGCTCACTATAACCTAGAACTCCTGGCCTCAAGCTATCCTCCTACCTCAGCCTCCTGAGTAGCTTGGACTACAGGCATACACCACCATGCCCGGCTAATTTTTAAATTTTTTGTAAAGACGTTGTCTTGCTGTGTTGCCCAGGCTGGTCTTGAACTCCTGGCTTGAAGTGATCCTTCCACCTTGGCCTTCCAAAGTTCTGGGATTACAGACATAAGCCACTGAACCTCCCCAAGTATGAAGACTTAGATCATTTTAATATGGCCAAGTAAATGGACTGTGGAAACTTATTGAGAGTAATGGAACTCCTAACAACTCAAGGCCTTAAAAAAATTTTTTTTTTTTAAATTAAAGAGTTTGGAGCCTAAAGGGTTTATAAGATACTCGTTGATTTACATGACTGTTTACTAATGTGACAAGATATTTGAACACATTGAACTAGAAACTGCAGTGGGAAAATATGCTCATTTATTTAGAGAACTACAGGCCTTCCCCCTCAAGTGACACCCAAGGATTGAGCAGATGGCACTTGGAGGCTGCACTTATTTCCTGTTGTGGAATTGCCCCATATCAACAGAATTGCTAATATTTAATACTGATGGAAATTCATACACAATTTTAGAAAATAAATACAGATTTAGATTTATTCGAATAATACTTTAAGTTTCCATGGTTGTCTGTAAGTGCATACCTGAGGATGGGACTGAATGCCGAGTCACCAAGGGCTTAGGGCAGTGCTCCTGGTGCCACCTGAGAACGCTTATCAGTCCATAGTGAGATGAGCTCAGAAATTAAGAGTAAATGTTTAGAAACTTTCTGGCTATTCAACAGAGTATGTTTATATCTATTGAATTTAATGATAAAAATAATTGGGATTACAATGTATGTCCTTTATTTCATTTTTTAGTAATTCATTCTTATTGTATTTATTTTACAAAAGTTATCTGTTTAAAATGGATTAAGGAAAAAACCAAAAACAAATCAGGTACCTCATCACACATAGTTCATTAAGTTAGAATCTCTTAGAAGTGTGAGGTATCTGGAAATGAATATATGGATCTGAAGATTATCTATTAATAGAAATTTCTGGCTACGTGGCTGGTCAAATTCCAGGCAGTGTTTAGGTCTGCTTGGCTCTATGAAATATATATTCTGTATTATGGCTAAATATTACAAATAAAAGGTATATTTTAGAAAAATTAACAAGGGATTATACTGTATTACTCTTATTAATTAAAAATACATACCCTTCACATCCATGGATTTTTGATCATATGATCCAGTACTGTAAAATTTGGCCACCCTATTATAGTACGATGCCATCTACCTAGGAAATACTAAAAAAATATTTATTGAATCAGATGTTTTCTCATAAGAGTTAGCAAAAACTAGATAGTTCACTAAATACAGTCCATAAAATTAAAGTAACTTTGAAAGGTAAAGTTTGAAAAGTTAATAGCCTTATAGCTTCCTCCCAAATGATATCTGCCTTGTTCTGCTTCATCAGACCTTTGCCAATCAGAACTTTGAGCATAATTATCAAGGTACCACTACTAAGGTTGTATATTTATTAAATCCTTGTTTTTGTTGTTTTAATCAGTTCAGATTTTTAGTAAACTAATTCCTTTTGTGTTTTAGTCAGTTGAGATTTTTAGTAAGTTCTTTGATATAATTTCTATAGGTGATAGTTTATAATTCTCTTCTGACATTTCAGTTACTTAAAGAAATTACCCTGAAAATCTATTTTCCAAAGTAGGTGTAAATATAGTATAGTGTCTTCCTTATAGCACTATACTTCAATAAAGCTTTTAAAATTGGTCAGTATGAGAAGAAAGTAATCAGCCATATGGAAATAATGGCATTATGTCATATTGTCAACTTTCATGTTAGATTTGCAAAATTGAAATATAATTATGAATAACAAAATAAACACATGTACTATACTACAGTGTGCAATGATGTGCTTTTGATACAGTGGAAACAATTACTAATAAAATAAGGTGTTTTATGATTTGGAAGAGAGATTTTATTCTTGGCAGTGGCTTTTCAATTTTGCCAATTTGAAAAGTGGCTCTGTTGGTGAATGAGATAGTTATGGAAAAAATGTATACAATCTTTATGCTTAGAACACATGTATTGTCAAAGTTTACTCATGCAAAAGTGAAGCAGGATCCAGATTAAGAAAACTATGTCTCATTCTGAGCAGTAGAACATTTTCTTAGCTTACTTACCACTTCATTGGGTAATTTAAGAAATTTACATTCTCAATTTCATTTTAACCCCAAACACTGCTTCTATCTTTATTGACTCTGCCTTTATTTTTATGAAATATGTATATTTTTAATAAATCTATGGGAAATTCACCATGTGGGTATATGATTTTATATTCATTGATGTTGCATTTAAGTGTTCAGCTATATTTTTCATGTGTTCTGTCTTCCAAGTATAGTAGCAAGGTCTTTTAAAAGTATGTTTCCATCCTGTTTTATTATTTCTTCCTTCCAAAGATTGTAGCATCATATTCTGTTTATAGTGAGGGTTCACTGTTGACAGACTAAAAAAGACTTAAAGGTCTACATTATAATAAATTGATAGCAGAATTAAGGAATAACATAGGTTTTAAAACATCTTAATAAAAATCATAATATTGTGTTTTTATGTTTTTGCAGGAAGATTCTTTGGCAACAGATGACTTCCTTGTGGACTACTTTAATGAATTCCTAAGCCTTCCAGTGAGTGTATTATTATGTTCTGTTGAATATAGTATCAAAGCAAAATATTTAATTCACTGGATTATGTTGTGAGACAAATTTATCAGAAGTAATATTTTATTAAAATATTAATTAAAGCATTTAGGTAAAGTTTATATTTTTATAGACATAATCATTTGGATTTAAATCATATTTAGAAATTATCCTTATTGAAGAAAGCTAGAATCAAAAACCATCAAAAAGGATTCTGGACAAAATCTAATATAGTTGTATTTGGCACCATGTTAGGCTTTGAACAGAGGTGATAAGGACAAAATATCAAAAAAGTCAAGAAACTAAATTTTATGCCTCTAAGCAATTCTTATCATCCTCTTGGATAGATATTAAATTGGAATTTGTATTTAAGGCAACTAGAGTTTCATATCAATAGTAAATAAGACTTGGGACGCTGTTGTTTGTGTAACACATGGTGGATATCAATTAATAGCGTTTCAGTCTTAGCAGTGACTGATAGAATAAGTACTAAGGGGTGTCTTAGTCCATTTTGTGCTGCTATAACAGAATAGCTGAGATTGGGTAGTTTATAAAAAACAGAAATTGATTTGGCTCATGGTTCTGGAAGTTCAGAAGTCTAAGGTGGAGGGGCTGAATCTGGCAAGAGCCTTGTTGCTGCATCATCCCATGGCAGAAAGGTAAAGAGAGAGGGCAAGAGAACAAGAGAACCAGAGAGGGCTGAACTCATTTTTATAACAAGCCCACTCTCGAGATAACTAACCCACTATTGCAATATGGACATTAATACATTCATGAAGGCAGAGCCCTAAAGACCTAATCACCTCTTATTAGGCCCCAGCTCCCAACATGGTTGCACTGGGGATTAAGTTTACAACACATGGACTTTGGGGTACATATTCAAAAACCATAGCAAGAAGTTTGGGGAAAGTAAAATGAGAGTTCATAAAAGACTTATATTGTTATATGGAAATAAAGTTAATCAGGAATGGCAGTTAAAAGAAAGATAAGAAAAGGCTTTATTATTGCATTATGAAAACATGGAAACATTTTTTATTAAATTTTTTACCAGGGAAAATTTGAAATAGAAAAAAAGTCACAAGTAATTCTAAGGGGAATAGACCATAAAATATGAAATCTCTTAAAATCTAACCACTGACAATATGTTTTGAAGGGTACTTTCTTGCCTAGATTAATTTTGTATATAAGTATATATCTATGCATGCATGCATGTTTGTTTTGTGATTTTGTTTTTTTTCTTTGAAGAACTTTATACTCTATCCTCCATTTGGCAGAGCTAGATCTCTGGATCCATTATGGGAGTTAGATTGAGACACCAAGCCACCCTCTCCCTTTCCAGGAATAGGCCTCAGTGACACTGTATAATACTCAAGGGGTTCTTGTTTGGCCTGACTCTTTAACTTTCCTTGACCAGTTGTACATCATACAAGACCCAGCAGCATCACAAAATTGCGAGAATTTTACTCTTCCAGATTATGTAGTCTTTCCCCTGGGCTCTGCAATCTCCATTCTTCCTCCAAAAAAGAGTACATTTTTATAAAATTTCAAACAGAAAAATCTCTATATAGGTCTAATTTCAGTTTCTCAGCATTTAAATTTCAGTATCTCAAGATTTGTGCTTATCTTGACTTTTACCTGTTCTGAAAAATAAATAAATTCCCCTGCCTAACTTTCTTTTCCAGAAAATCTGTTTTAAAGTATAGAAATAATATGACAATAGTATAGAAAAATGTGAGAAAAATTCAGCCATCTTCCTGCTATCTAGTCAGAATAGACATTGCCATTTTTGTAGGTTTTCTTTCAGACTTCAGTTGAAATGACAGTATGATTTCTATTGAGCTCTATGTAGTCATGTTTTTTATCACTCCCCAGCAGGTACCCTTCATATGTCCCATGCACCCACCTGGCCTGCCTCTTCCTTTTTTCCTCTCTCCAAATCCTTCTGTTTTTACTCCCTCTTTTTTTTTTTTTTTAATTCCTTTTGCATCTACATTTAGGATCACACAGTCTGTCTATTATCTATTCTGTACACCAAAGAGAAGGGAAAATATTGTCACAGGTTTCCAAAAGAATTAGAGGGAAGGGAGGAGAAGGAATGATGTATTCTTAAACCAAGTACCTAGCAAAATTCTTGAACAGATTAGTAATGTTTGGTTTATGAGCACTTAGCTAAGAGTTAGAAACCAGCATGGGTTTAGTTAGCCAAACTAACTCTCTCTTTTTGGATAGTTATGGACTGGTATTTTAGGGAACCGTAAATTTAATGTATTATGATTTCAATAAGGTATTACAAAAAATAATAAGTTGAATCATGTTACTTTCTGCTCTGCTCACAACCCTGTTTGGTGGCTTCTCATACACTAAGAATAAAATTCAGAATCCTGTACGATTTGGCCCTTTTTATCTCTCGATCTTTATTTCCTCCCCTTTTCCTCTTGTAAATTCTTTTCCAGTTTAACTGACATTCTTCATGTTTCTCAAACATGAATATGCAAAGCATACTCAGGCTCTTTCAACCTGGAATGCTCTTCCCTGAAGTATCTGTATCACTTTCTCCCTGACTTAAGTCACTTATGTTCAGAAAGCTTTCCCTACCAACCCTGTCTAAAATAATATCCCCAAAGCATGCTCCACTTATATTGCTTTATTTGTTTCCAAAGCCCTTTTCATTATCTGTGAAATTAGTTTTCAAATATTTGAACTGGTTCACTAACCATAACCAGTAGGGGTTGACTTTTAATAACCTACAGATTAAACTCCACATCTTTACTATGGAATTCAAGATCCTTTGCAGTTTGGCCTCAACTTGATCTTTCTAGCTTTATCTCAGGCTTCATACTACTGGTGCCACCCTGCATACTTTCTTCTTCCTGCCTTAACCCACCAGACCATCTTGACCACGCATATTCTTCCTGTGCTCAAGTCTCGCCATGTAGTGGTTAGTACAGGAGGGAGACAGAACTGTGTTTGATTCCAGGTCCTCCATTCACTGCTAGTGTGATCTTAGAAACATTACTTACTTAATTCCTAGATTTCTTTCTCTGTGAAGACAATATAACTGTCTTATAAGATTATTGTGAAATGAGGTAATGTATATTAAGTGCCTCTCACAGGGTTAGTGCTTCTCTTTCTGTTTCCTTCACTAACTAGACCATCTCATCTTTTCATTCCTGAAACATAACAGGCAATCATTCTTTAATTAGATTGGTGGATCATTGTCAATCACAGAAGAGGATAATCTTCTGTGTCACACAAATCTGTTATTGGCTTTGCCTTTTTAAAATCATTTTTATCATAGACTTGGAAGAAAAGTTGCAAGAGAACCAGTGTTTTTCCGGTTTAAGGTCACTCAGCTAGTAAGTGACAGGGAGGCTGAGAAATTTTGATTGTCCCAGGTCCACATGGCTCAAAAACTTTCGATTGTCCCAGTACACTACGATGTCTACAGAACTGGCAGCAGAGAAATAAATTGATCATTTGCATAACAAAATCTGTCTAATTTTTATCCTGATAGTATGAAATGGACTAAAACAAAGGATAATGTATTCTTAGGGTACATTAATAGAAGTATAATCAAGATCAAGAATATTAGTCTGGAGCATAGAAGGCACTCAATAAATGTTTTTTTGAATAGGGTTGAATCGTCAGACCACATTTGGAATATTGTGTTCCATTTTGTGCCATATGTTAAGAGTTGCTCTGCCAAACCAGACTCAGGGAGACTCAGCCAGTGAACACTCTGGAAACCACGTCAGATGAGGAAGGGTTGAAAGAAGTGTGGGTGTGTTTTACCTGGCTTGAGAATGGGTGGTAGGGGTAGAATGGAGTAGCCCTTTTCAAATATTTGAGGATTCAGTTGAGGAAGAGGGGTTAACACATTCTGTGAAACTAGAGGGCAGAACCAGGGCCAGCGTTTATAAGGGAAATTGATTTTGATTTTCACTCACAAGACAGAACTTTACAATTTTTTTTTGTTTTTTTTTTTTTGAGACAGGGTCTCTTCTCATTCTTTTGTCCAGGCTAGAGTGTAGGGGTGTAATCATAGCTCACTGCAACCTCAAACTTCTGGCCTCAAGCTATCTACCCGCCTCAGCCTCCTGAGTAGCTGGGACTACAGGTGCATGCCACCATGCCCAGCTAATTTTTTAAAATTTTTTTATTTTTTTTTTGTAGAGATGAGGACTCACCAGGCTGATCTTGGACTCCTGGCCTCAAGTGATCCTCCTGACTTGGCCTCCCAAAGTGCTGGGGTTATAGGCATGAGCCACCATGCCTAGCTTAAAGTTTGTTTTCTAACAATAAAATGGGCTGGCTTGTGAAGGAGTAAACTCTGTATGATTGGTGGATTCAGATAGAAGTTAGGAAATCATCTTATGGGAATATTGTATGTGTATGTATGTGTATCTATATGGTGGGAGACTTGACTTTCCCAACCAAAGAAACTTTGATTAATTCCTTCTTCTCTGTTTATTTATCTTAGGAGCTACATTGTAAATATCCTAGGGGCAAAGATAGGTCTATTCTGTACCTCCCAAAGCTTCTTAAGGATGATTCTGTTTTTTATTTCTACATCTTCCACTGTAAGATCCTTGAAATAAACAAACACACCTTCTAACCTTTTCTTCTGCTTCCCTCCACCCAACCCTCCACCAAAAACAATAATCTAAGCCTGAGAATGTAGAAAAAGATTATAGGGCCCTTAGGTCATCTAGATTTCTGAGACTTTTCCCACATCTGTAGCAACATGCTCTAGGTCCCAGAACTGGATTGTGACAGAAATGGGCCTAGGAATCAGGCTTTCTGGCTTCTACACTGTTTCTTTCCATTACACCATTACACCCTTGGGACACATTGTAAGATCCAGAAATTGATGGCTGGTAGCCTGCCCCCATGTTATTTTTTGATGAGGGGAATCCAGGACAGTTGCCGCTATTATAAATGATTATGGCACTTTCCAAATCCTAGCTTTCATAACTTCATTCTTTTTG